AAGGCTATAATCAAGGTGGTATGGAAATAGCCTAAGAATAGACACAAAGATAAAGGAAACTGAGAATTTTCACAACAAATTAATGATAGAGCTAGGATTCAAACCCAAATCAGATGTGAAAATCTGTTTTTATTACTACCACATAAGTTTTTTGGTTGTTGCTGTTCTCTGTATTCTCCACAATCCATAGTCCAGGACTATGTACCTAATAAACACTCAATAGTAACCAGTGAGTAAATAAATATGCTTCTGATGATAATAGCCATCCTTCATCCTATGAAGAAATGAGTGGCATATAAAGAAGGATAATTATATTTTTAAGTACAACCCACCAGTAATTTTGCAGCTACAGAAAGAAATTAACAGCTGTAATTGTGTATGTTCTGAGTAAAAAGCACAGATGGAGTGTCTACATTCTAATATTTTTTACCTTTCAGAATGGATTGGTTAAGAATATGAGTTAAGGGGCACCTGTGTGGCTAAGTCAGTTAAGAGTCCGACTTCAGTTCAGGTCATGATCTCATAGTTTGTGAGTTGAAGCCCCACATTGGACTCTGTTCTGACAGCTCAGAGCCTGAAGCCTGCTTCGGATGCTGTGTCTCCCTCTCTCTCTACTCCTTCCCTACTCACGCTCTGTCTCCCTCTCTCTCTCTCTCTCAAAAATAAATAAACATTTTAAAAAAGAATGTGAGTTAAATATAAGTAAAATGAGAATATGAGTAAAAATGATCAGTCTGAAATATGAGACACTACCAAACTTAAGACCAAAACTAAAATTAGAGTAATTAGGACACATTCACCTCAGAGTTCCACTTTTCCTGCCAACTTATCATTTTCAGTGAGATTAAGATAAGTCTCTATGGGATGGAAACTTTTACATAGATGCTAATACACATGACTTTTCCTGGGAAAAGTCCCTGTAACTTTTAAGATCCTTGGAGATTTTTAGTCTTGGAATAGGTTCACAAAACAAATCAATCCTAAAGAATATAATATCATCAGTGACTAATGGGCACCATCTCAAACCTGCCCCCTTCAACATAGAGAATATAGTGCTGCCACAGTCAAGGTCAGAGGCAATAGTGTTGGAGCACTACATGTCTTTCTAACAAATTTAGACTTGACAGTTATTTTGTCTTTCTCCTGTCCTGGTGGATCAGTTCACAGGAAAGTGGCACATTTTCTGGAAGCTGAGGGAATACATGCCAACCTATCTGCCTGCATTCTGGGATGGACGCCCTACACATTAGGTCATACGGTACACTTGTGACAGCTGTTTGATAACACAGGGGAAGGATGTCCAGAGGAGATTGTGGGTGAATGCTAGGCCACACCACTCAACCTTCTATTAACTCTCCTTTTATGGATTGAGAGCTAACCACAAGCGGTTGCATGCTTTGATAAAAGTGGATTATAGAAATGGAAATAAATGCCATATCTGCCACACATTGTAGACTCATTTCTTTGAACAGTTGAATGTAAACAGTTGTCTTTTATGGGGAAGTAATGTCTAGCAGGTATTTTTAAAGGATTTATATTTTATCTTATAATATTATATAAATTAAGCCATCTTAGGTAAAGCAAGTAACATCTGAATATTGGTATTTCAATGTCACTAACCCATAAAATCATCTAGAATAACTTGCTTCATTTTTAGAACTAAAATTTTCCTGCCTGTGAAAACAACAACAATAAAAGTCATCCTTCTATTCCTGTGTTAACAGGAAAGCTATTGCACAGATAATGTAAAATATACTTTGTTATGAAGTTAGCCCTGAATGAGTGATGTGGGCCTGGGCTGGAGGAGTACAGGACCTTATAGGGTGCCTTCTTGAGAGCTAAAATTAAAAGGCTAATTTATCTTCCTACCCTTGTTTATCTTTTGCTCTGATTTTAGTATTTAGCTCTCTTAACTTGCTATATATATAATAATTATATACTTTTAAATATTATATATGTAATAATTTTGTAAGATATCTGCCCATAACCCTTTTGGAGAAAAGTGAGGGTATAAATAATCCAATTTTACTGAAATTGTATAATCAGTTGGATTTTCTTGAGCACACACTGGGTAGTCATGGGGATGATGAAACAAAGGAACAGTACGAAATCCTAATGCATTGCTTAGGAACACCAACTTGTTACCTACTTAAAATACATAAATCATATACAGATAAACAAGCCTCACCTTAATGTTTGGGAGAAATTTTGAAATAAAAAAGTGCTTGAAGTAAAATTAAATACTTATTAATACACTTTTATTCTACATTTGAGGTGCCAGACACTAGTCTGGTTGTTTCACATGTATGATGTGTGTTCTATCATAACCACAATCCTCATTTGAAAAACTGAGGATCCAAGTGGCTAAGTGCCTTGCCTAAACTCACACTGGTAAAAAGTGGCAGGCAGGATTTGGAAGCCAGGCAATCTGGCCATAGGGTCTATTGTACCATTATGTGGCATTAGTTCTCCAGACAGCAGAAGACAAGTGTGAGTAGCTCTGTGATTACCAACCCTGGAGACTCAGTAGCATTGTCTTGGGAAGGGAATATGGGAGGTTAAAAACATATTCTGATGTCTGGAACCCGCTTGAACATCATCATGTACATTTTCTAAAAGACCCATAGGTGATTCTCTTCTTGTACTCCAGGTTAAAGAACTACTGAAATAGATGAAACATCAACTTCACTTTATAAACTAAAGAGCAACAACGATTTTTTATATAATGTATTTAGTTTTGATAGAGAAAACGAGCTGAAGGAGGGCAGAGATAGAGAGATAGAGAATCCCAAGCAGGCTCCATGCTGTTAGCACAGAGCCCAATGCAGGACCCAATTCCACAAACCCTGAGATCACGACCTCAGCCAAAATCAGAAGTTGGATGCTTAACTGACTGAGCCACCCAAGTGTCTTACAGTGAAGATTTTGAAGAGATTCTGAGCAGTCTCTTCAAAAACTTTGGAATAAATGAATGATTAAAATGAGCACAGTGTCATAGTGATAAAACAGTCATGGGAATAATCATGACCCAAAGAAACCAAGTCATATACAAACCCTAAGCTTGTTACTCTTCTTTCAACAAAAGGCAACATTTGCAGCTGTGGGGAGTTATCTACATTCAAGAGAATACAGAAATATAAGTCCAGAGTGAATGACAGAGCAATACCTTTTACACTTTCCATTAACAGAGATGGGAAGAAGTACCATGGTAAAAATGCCATCCACTCAGTTAAAAGTATAGCCGCAGCATACTCCATTTTCACTGTATAAAAAAGAATGTCCTTTGTAACCTATGCTTTATGGTCAAAACAATGCAAAATACCTTTAACAACTTTAATTTGTGATAGAAGATCACAGACATTGAAAGTTAATTTACTGTGTACTCAAAAACAAGACTTTATTTAGAGAAGAGATAACAAGAGAAAAGGAGCAAGAAAAAAGATTAAATGAAAGAAGCTTAATTAAGCATTACCAAATAATGAATTAAAACTAACATGTATTTTTCTTGAGAGCCATTGATTTCACATGGAATCACATGATGCAGTGCTTTTGAATGTCAACCCTCCCAACCTTTTCAATTCTTTTAGTTCCTGGAGTTTCCCAGATGGACAAAGGAATTAGCAAATTATAAAAACCACATATGTGAATTGCTCACTGGTCACCTCATTGTGCATTTCAATCACTGCAACACTGCTAGGTACGGTCGCGTTAGGTGCCAAGTTCCTGAGAGAAAGGTTGTCCTTTTCACAATAATGGCTCAGATGCCTCAGATCCTCTGTGGCATGATGTGGATCTAATGAAATAAATTACCATTACACATCCTCAAAGCCTGCTTATGCTTATTCTTGTACTAACATCAAACTGATATGCTAATGGAGTGACTTCATAAAGTAGTAGTTATAGTTCCTACTTATATTTCACTACCAGGTTCTTAACTTCAGGAAATAAACTGCTGCTTGTCCAGAAATTCACTCTTTCACCTAATTTTTATCTTGACTGCCATATGGTAAATAGCGCTTAGCCCCTACGTGGCTTATTTGTTTTCTATCTCTTTGGGCTTTGTAATTTTATGGAGCCTTTTTTACAATTTGAAACTATAAAATAGCTCCTCAAGAATTTGGACAACTAACTCTACATAAATTTGAATAAGCAAAAGGGACATCATTCTGTATAATCTTCTAAAGACATTCATTTGTGAGATGTTACACTAAGTTGCTTGATGTTAAGGAAAAATCTACCAAACATTATGGGAAGTGATAACAAAAAAAGGAGTGATAATAATCTGGAATTACAATAATTTGGACAGGTTATAGGTTGACATCTTCCCCAATATGACACAAGTAGTTCAGAAAAGCAGGCTAAACAAATTAATACTCTGCATAAAATTACAGAGCAAGTTTCTTTAAAATAAATATTTTCTGGCATTTTAAAAGCAGCTGCTGATCTATACGGTATGCTGCTTTGAGAGAACTGAAAGGCGTGTCTGAGAAAAGGCATGCATGGAAGTCACCAGGGCTCAACTTTCTCCCTTAAACTATACTCTGTAGCGTCTGAGTTTGCCAGGCAGACCTGAGGGTGTCCATGGGGCTGGCAGGTATACATGGGATCAGCTTTGCAAAAGGCTCTAAAGTCTCGGTTTTGAGGCACAGTTACAGAACATGGCCATTTTCACCTCATTTCCAGTTGGGTTTTCTTTTTTTTTTTTTTTAAGATTTTTAAAAAATGCTTATTTATTTTTGAGAGAGAGAGAGTTAGCACACAGGCGAGGGAGAGGCAGAGAGAGAGGGAGACACAGAATCCAAAGCAGGCTCCCTGCCCGGAGCTGACAGCAGAGAGCCCAATGCAGGACTGGAATTCACAAACCAAGAGATCATGACCTGAGCCCAAGTCGGATGCTTAACCAACTGAGCCACCCAGGTGCCCCTCCCAGTTGGGTTTTCTTATCCAGCTTTACCAGCTATTAATACACTGACTCTGATCTTTTCTTTCTTTTTTTCCAGTACTCATGTCCACTTTCTACCACTTGGAACTCAGAGAAGATTCACTGACTCCTAATTTTCAATGGTCACCTTAGGCAAACTTTTTGCCTCCTTACATTTTCAGATGTAAAATGAGGAGATTGCTTAATACTAGAGTCCCTTCCAGCTACTGGATTTACAACTTTCCTAGGTAACACATTTTTTAAAAGCCAGATTCAACCAGTTATAACCGAAAGTGGCCAAATGTGCATTGCTTTAAAAACAAACACTAAAATTATATCCAGGTCTTCTACAGAAGTTGTCCAAATTTGTGAGAATTTAAAATAGAAATTAAAAATACAAAATAAACTTCTTGTTTATACTATTTCTCTCTTCTCTTTTAAGATAGATAGTAGATGGGGGTTCCTGGGTAGCTCAACTGGTTAAGCATCGCTTAAGTGTCTGACTCTTGATTTCAGCTCAGGTCATGATCTCACAGTCATGAGATTGAGCCCCACATAAGGCTCTACACTGACAAGCACAGAGCCCGCTTGGGATTCTCTCTCTCTCTCCTTTTCTCTGTGCCCCTCCTCCACTCATGCTCACATGTGTTCTCTCTCTCAAAATAAATCAATAAACTTAAAAAGAAAAAAAATTACTTAAAAAAGATAGACCAAATATTTTCTTTTCCACTAAAGGAATTTTATTAACATCAGTATTATTTTATTATCCCATTTAGGTACAGATTCATCTGGAAAATTCAAAAGGAAAAAAAAGGGCTGTATGAAAAAAATATGTGGATCCAGTATGTATTCATGAAATAAAAATCCACAGCCTATCATGTCCAAAGCTGGATTGCTGTGAATCAAAAACTCAAATATAATCGCACACACACCCCCAAATAACCTAGTTAATAATGGGCAGAATACATGAACACAAATTTCTCCAAAGAAGATTTCTGGATGGCCAACAGACACGTAAAAGATGCTCAATATTACTCATTATCAGGGAAATGAAATGTAAACCAAAACCACAATGCAATATCACCTCACACCTGTCAGAATGGCTAAAATCAACAACATAAGAAGTAACAAGAGTCAGTAAGGATATAGAAAAAAAGGAGCCCTCATGCACTGTCGAGGAGAATGAAAACTGATGCAACCATGCTGCAAAACAGTGTGGAGGTTCCTCAAAAAGTTAAAAATAGAACTTCCCTATGTTACAGTAATTTTACTCCTGGGATACAAAAATACTAATTCAAAGGGATACATGCAACTCCTGTTTATAGCAGCATTATCAATAATAGCTAAATTATGGGAGCAGCCCAAGTATCTATCAACTAAAGAATGGATAAAAAAGATGTGGCATATATATATATATATATATATATACACATAGCGAAATATTACTCAGCCATAAAAAAGAATGAAATCTTACATTTGCAACCACATGGAGCTAGATCGTATTATGCTAAAAGAAATAAGTCAGAGAAAGACAAGTACCATATGACTTCACCCATGTGTGAAATTTAAGAAACAAAATGAACAAAAGAAAAAAAGAGAGGAAAACAAACCAAGAAATAGACTCTTAACTATAGAGAACAGATACCTGAGGAATGGGTGAAATGGATGGTAAGGATTAAATGCTACACTAACTTATCATGATGAGCACTGAGTAATATGTGGATGTGTTGAATCACTACATTGTATACCTGAAACTAATATAAGAAATGTATGTAACTATACTGGAATTAAAACTCAAAACTTAATAAACAGCAACAATTGCAAACTATTCCAACAAGCTATTTTTTCCTAAAAAGGAAAAGGATATAAAAGAAAAAGAAGTTCATCTTTTGAACATCGAGATGTGTTAAATATTATAGCAGAGACATTTATACATCCATGTAACTGATATCCTTTCAACAGTTTTGTGATGTAGACTTTTTATACTCCCATTTTATAGAGAAGGCAAGTCTGAGAGACTAACTACATGCTCAAGAATAAACTGTTAGTAAAGATGTAGAGTTTGAATCCCTACCTGATGACCTCAGAACCCAAATCTTTTCCAAACCATTCCTGCCGGGTGCTGCTGGTGGATAGTGTGTGAAGCAGTGCCCTGCACAGAATGGTGATCAGGAGATTTCACACTATGGCAGGATAAAGTCCCTTTACACTCTCATCTTCTGTACTCTTTTTAAAAGAGCATCTATTTAGTCACAAGCCTCACATCATCAAGAAGAAAGTATCCTATCATTCTTAGAGGACTGTTGCTTCCTTAAATGTTAGATGGAATGAAGTCACACATCAGGCCCATGGTGACTGCTCTTTGTTTAACGTTTGATAAAGCATTTGTCTTAAGGTCAAGTGGAGTTATTACAGAACCCTACTGAAACATAAAAGGCAAATGGAAAAGTGACAAAAAACAGGAGTTTGGGTCAGAAGTAAATAATAATAATAATAATGATACTACTAATAATACAGAATAGATTTGATGTAGAAAAGGCAAAGCTTGTAGACAAAAAAGCAGTAATAAAAATGTACTTTACAGAGTCCTAAAAAATTTGTTTAAAAGGCAGATTTCAGTTATGCAAGGTAAAGGAATGAAATTAAGAAAAACTTTTCTTCTTTGCTTTGAGGGAGTAAGAGATGACATTAAAAACACAGAGACGAAATAATTTCACTTCTTCATATACTTCACTTCTTATTGAAAAGATAACATACATGTAGGAAAGTATATGGATTATCCTATATATTCATAAATACACGTCTCAGTGCTTTTTCATAAACTGAACACACATAGGTAATCACCATTCAGGTCAGGAAATAGTACATATCTAGACTCTGAACATTCATCCTTTTGCCCTAGCCACTTGCTTCTTCCTCCCCTCAAAAGTATCCATCCTGACTTCTAATACCATGTGTCACTTTTTTTTTTAATTTTTTAAAAAATGTTTTATTTATTTCTAGGAGAGAGAGAGAGAGACAGCGTGAGCAGGGGAGGGTCAGAGAGAGAGGGAGTCACAGACTGAAACAGGCTCCAGGCTCTGAGCTGGCAGTCAGCACAGAGCCCGATGCGGGGCTCGAACCCACGAACCGCGAGATCATGACCTAAGTGAAAGTCGGACGCTTAACTGACTAAGCCACCCAGGCGCCCCTACCATGTGTCACTTTTGCTTGGTTTTGATCTTCATGTAAACAGAATCATACAATGTGTATGTCCATGTGTCCTTTGTTGGACATTATGTTTATGAGATTTTACCCTTATTGTTGCAGGTTTATTCATGTTCATTGCTAAATAGTGTATCATTGAATGAGTAAAACACAATTTGTCTATTCATTTTATGTTTATAGATATTTGGATTGTTCCCAGTTTTGACTACTATGAATGCTTAGGAAAATGTATATTAATAAACATGATATTCTGTTGCCCATATATCTGTTACATATATACCTAGGAGTAGAATTGCTTAATCATTGCCTGTGCATTGGCTCAGTTTTAATATTTATTGCCAAAAGATGGTCTAAAGTTGCTGTGTTAATTTACATTCCCATTAACAGTGTGTAAGAGTTCCAGTTGCTCTAAGCTTTCCTTGAGTTTGGTATTGACATTTTTTTTTAATTTTAGATTTTCTAGAGTGTGTGGGGTTATCTTATTGTTGTTTTAATTGCATTTAAATTGTAATTTAATTGTATTTCAAATGAGGTTGAGAACATTTGGATACGCTTTTTTCTGAAGTGCTCTAAGTCTTTTGCAACATTTTCTAATATGCTTTCTATCGTTTTCTTATGATTTATTGCAGTGTTTTTGTTTGTATTTTGATTCTGAGTCCCCTTTTGGTTTATATATTGCAAATATCTTCTTTTTTGTGGCTTGTCTTTCTACTTCCTTTATATACTTTTAACAATGTAAGTATTAATACAGTATTATTTATCAATAAATTCCCTTATGGCTGGGGCGCCTGGGTGGCTCAGTCGGTTAGGTGTCCGACTTCAGCTCAGGTCATGATCTTACAGTTCGTGGGTTCGAGCCCCGCGTCAGGCTCTGTGCTGACAGCTAGCTCAGAGCCTGGAGCCTGTTTCAGATTCTGTATCTCCCTCTCTCTCTGACCCTCCCCTGATCATACTGTCTCTCTCTCTCTCTCAGAAATAAATTAAAAAAAAAATTCCCTTATGGTTAACATTTTCTGTATCCTGCTTAAGACGACTTTCACATGGAGTGCTGGATGGCTCAGTTGGTCAGCTCAGGTCATGATCTTACAGTTCCTGAGTTTGAGCCCTGTGTTGTGCTCTGTGCTGATAGTTCAGAGCCTGGAGCCTGCTTCAGATTCTGTGTCTCCCTCTCTCTCTGACTTTCCCTCACTCATGCTCTGTCTCTCAGTCTCTCTCTCTCTCAAAAGTAATCATTCAAAATTAAAAAAAAAAAAGACTTTCCATACTCCAAGTTCATGCAGATATTCTCCTGGGCTATATATAAATTTTATTGTTTCATCTTTCATTCACACTCAGATCTCAATATCACTTCAAATTGATTTCCTTGTATGGTAGGAGTTTCCTTTGTCTGTTTAAAAAAGTATCAATTATAGTCAATTATCTAGGACAAGAGATAGAAAGATAGGAAATGGCACTAAAGAGAAAATCTATTTACTTATAAAGCAGTCTTAGAATATGATACACATCTGGATTACTTGGATTTGAAGGTGGGATCCTTAATTTTAAAACAGATTGGCAGCTGTCACTTTGAAGTCAAAAGCTTTCCTCTGAAAGGATAAGAAAAATAAGTAAAGTGACTTTTTTGGACACTAGAAAATACAAAACCCTTGGTCATTTATAGTGCTGAGGGAGTAGTCCGCTATTCTGACTTCCGATTCAGAATAGCTCAGTAGCTTTAGCAAAGGCTTGGGAATCTAAAATACCTGGCCTTCCATCTCAATTTTCCCATCGCCTGCTGTCACTGCTCCAGGTATTTAACTCACTGTGTGTACTCAGCTGCACACTTAAAATCATATCCATGTCATGAGCTTCAAGGGGGAAGCAATTAGATACCATGCATGTTTTGTTCATCGTTGTGTGTTCAGCACTTCCAACAGCTTCTATCAGGTAGTAGGGACTTAATACTGCCTCCCCATCAGTCTTACACTATCATTATTAGTTACTTACACTCTAGAATAGATTTAGAAGCTTCTCTGAGAAGAAAAAAGCAAGAGAACATGAAGTAACTTGGAAAACCAGAGACTATCTACTTTCACAATTGTCAAGCCAAAATTAGATGAGACGGCTTAATGTTGACACCTAAGAAGACAGTAGAACATCATCATTTTGATATGTCCTGGAAAGGCCAGAAATAGAGTAACTAGCATGCCTTTGTAAGCCCAAATAATGCTAGAAAGGCCAATTTAATTTCCTGATATGTGGCAAAGCAAGACTGATTAAGAGAAAACTGCACATTTAATCTCTTTAATCATCAGTAAGGCCTTTCATTTCATCTCACCAAATATTCCTGGGAAGATGCTAGATTCTGCTTCCTCACAGTGCAGTCCTTGGCCCTGGACTGGCAGCAATATCACCCAGACACAGACAATTAGAAACAGACTTGAGCCCTTCTCCAGACCTACAGAACTGGCATTTTAGCATAATCTCCAGGGGATTCTTATACATTTTAATTTTAAGAAGCACTGATATAGACAGTTACAGTGCCTACTGATCTTGTAACCCACGTTTAAAAAATAAATTTAGGAATGAAAGCGAGAAGAGAAAGTTTGGGGGCTGGGGAGCCAAACTGAAGAAATGGCAATCATTCTA